CTGAAACATTTCTCTAAAGAGAGGACTGTGAGTTCCAGCTCCTGTATATAAAATATATTATCTCATATACTATGATTATATATAAAAATACATACTATGTACAATGTGCATGTGATGTATAATTTATAGCAATATATATTGCTATAGTATATATGATGACATTTCTTTTAAGCCGACCACAGTCTCTATGCAGCAAAGCGGAGCAGTCACTCCTTTGAGAAACGATGGCAGTCAACTTTATATATGCAAACTATTAAGTTAGCAGGCTGAACGTTTGTATTCCGAGACATTCGCTTGGTACATCTCCAAGGTTCAGCACTTGATTTAACGTTTGGATTTTCTGCTAAAAAAACTGCCTGGTCACTTCTGCATTGCATTCGAGGTTTGAGTGCAGAATTTCTTTAATTATGGAACTGCTCCATTCTTTTATAAGCCTTAAGGTATTAAAGGATTGCAGACTACACAATCCAAAATACACATGAAGAGAAGTTCCCTGGAATTATCACATATGCTATTTCCAGTAATTTTGTCTTGAAAGAAGGGAAATAACCTCTATTAAGATACACACAATACACATGAACATCCAGAAGACAGATATAGTTGATACCCGGGAACATCTGCACCTGGATTCCACTTCCAGAGGAGGGTCTGGCCGGGAGGCTGCACGCACCTAAATTCCTCAGCCCAGGAAAGCAAAAAAAGCTAGAGCAATGCAGAGAGAAGGCAGGCTCAAAAGCCCACGACGCACACCTAGTCAAAATATTAAAAAAGGAAATCACCACCAAGACCACACTGAAAATACAGGAGACTACAGAAAATTCCTGATGTGGGGAGTCAAGATTTCAGTGTTTAAAAATTTATACTTATTACATAATTTATTATTAAATAATAAAGCAATTTCCTAGTGTTGTATCTATGCACATTTTAGTAGCAGTATGAGGTCATTCCATCAGACCCGCTTTTCCCATGAAAGATTCCTACACTACCACTAAGAGATTTTCTTTCTACGGACGGAAAAGAAACTCCGTCCTTTCCAGGCTCGCTTTTCACTACAGGGAGGAAAGAAGAACATGGGACACCTCATATGATTTTTGAAAGCGAGGAGACAATCCTCATATCATAATTCAACAACTCCAGAGCAGTTCAAGTGCAGCTAAATGTGTTTTCTTTAATCACCTGATCGGCTCAGAAAGCACACACAATGCAGAAAAGGTTAATATTAACATTGAAAATAATGCCCAAATGGTTTTGGCTAGCTTTGTTCAGGAAAACAAAGAGTTCCCTGAGCATATTACCTCAATTTTGCAGGGTTTAAAACTGCCTTTTCAAGAGGACTGCCTATGGAGTATTTCATCGAAGCGCTCATTTTGAGCCACTCCATTATTCCGTTTCAGAGAAAATGACTTGCCATCTATAGAAGCGTGTTCAAAGGAATTTAAGTCACAAGACATTTCTATTATCCATGGGATGAAACACAGGTCTCTCGTGGTAATGTGGAGTATCTGATTTTAGCTAGAGGTGTGAGCTGCAGTCATGTGAGAAGCAAAGAACTAGGTGCTCTGAGCATGAAGTTGGCTAGCTGAAACGCTGCTCCTTGCCCAACAAGTAAGCACTCACAAGCATTGCCATATTTAAAGAACACTGTTGTCTGCCGTCACCAAGCTTTCTGAAGGAGAGGAACACGCACTGAATTTTCCCTAGGCCTCACTCCATTTTCTCTGCCATCTTCTGTAGCAGACATAAATGGACCTATCAGAACAGACATAATTAAAGTGGGTGAGAGAAATGGCAAATCTGACGTTGATGTGCAGTCCAGAGGATATGAAAAGCTTGTGGATGAAATTAAAGCAGCTGGACGAAACCCGAGGTGCTTACTGAACGACTGCAAAGGAACATGACATTAGCAGAAATGTCAGCTGAAGACGTGCCCGTTGTATCCCTCAAAAAGCCCAAACTCCTAAGCCAAGTAGATAGCCAAGTTTTAAGCCTTTTCTCCTGTGGTATGCTTCCTTTATTGGGACCATTAACCAACAGGCATCTCAGGGCTATGCTGAGTAAGCCCTTTCAGTGGGGAAGAACTGAATTATATATTTCTTAATACTTAATATCCACTCTCTAGTGAAAATTACAGGCAGCTGGGGAGAATCTGTCATAACTTGTTCTCCTGAGTTGTTTAAATCGCTATTTATTTTATTGTGAAAAATCACTGTGATTTCAAAAATGGCCCAACTACCCACTTCCTCGACATTCCCCATCACCGAGTATTGCAATTGGCGGTTAAATGTTGTATTTTCACAGATTAATATTTACTATCACTCCAGTGCCAAAAAAGAGTAGAAAGAGCCGCATAACGTCTGTAGTGACTAATGTAGTTAATGATATAGTCTTTCTATCTGTTAATGAATTATACAAAGTGTTCTAATTTTATAAACTAGTGCATTATTCAAAGTGGCTCAGAAACCTCTTAGGGCAAAAATAATTCAGCCTGAAAAGGTCTCCAAATTACTTGGTTTCCCTTTGCCTGTGGTTGTATCTTTCATATAGTGCATGAAAATTCACAAATTCCTATTATTTTAATGTCCTGCATGACTTACTAGAGCCTTTATAAAAACAGGGAAATAGCATTCCTTAAAACTTTAGGAGGAAAACACAAGAAATTTGAAGATGGCAATGAAATAAATACATTTCTAGGTGAATCAGAAAAGGACAAATATGTAAAATTTATTTCTGAGACTTTTGCTCTCTGCAAATATATTCAATAAAGGATGTGCCAATTTTAAAACAAGCTAATGCAATCTCTCCTTGCAAAGGTTGTCCTTGAAAGCCTATCCTTAGAAGTCAAATTCTTACGCTATACTCACTTGCTGGCGTCAGGGTGTTCGTGAAGGTAAAGTCTTCCCAAGCTCATTGTGAGAATTCAAAACCTGGCCATGTTTTTTTATTTCTATGCTCATTCAAAAGCTTCATTCACTGTGAAATATTTACACATCTGTCAGAGACTTCTATGCACAAGGGCCAGAACTGTGCGAAACAAGTTTTAAAAGACTCCAACCTGTCAGAAAAAAGAGTTTTTCTGGAGCACGGAGACTGAGGAACATGGCTCTGGGCCGTTTGCCAAGACTGCGGCAGGATATGCCAGCTATTCCTCTGGGCCCCGGAGGAGTGAGGGTATGGTTACGGTACAATCCATTGCTGAGGCCCTGAACGCTGCTGAGACCTGCTGGGAGCTGGGAACAAGCTGCTTCAGCGTTTGCAGAAGGGGATTTTTGCAGGGACGGCGAAAGCGCGAGACGCTATCTGCTCTTACTGTTCTTGCCATGCCACGCGCCGCAGCAGTCACGCTCGCAGTCCCACAGCACGTGTGGCACGCGGTTGGCACTATTCATTCAAGCCAGGCTTGTTCCACCCTGTTTTCAAACCCCTTTCTGCAAGAGCCCGTCTGTATTTTGCTGGTGGCTCCTTTGGCTTCAGGACAATCCAAAACCGGGAGGATCTCAAACACAGCCTAAGTTCAATTTAAGATGAGATCTATGCCATGTCACATAGAAACACGTGGTACAGAACACGTGTTCGTCTTCTCCACTGAAGAAAACAGAAGCTGAAGAAGGCTACATGGTACTGGGTGAAGAAAAGTTTGCACAGTCCAGCATGCTGAGGTGAACTTGAAGGCTTAGCAACGCAGAAGGAAACTTTCGTATTACTGTCACTAAAAGATACATTCTTCTTCGCCTCTCCAGCCAACACCAACACCTGACACTTTTGGAAAGCTAGATCTTAAGTGCAAAGCAAGCAGACTCCTCTATTATTCTTAGCCCTAGGAAATGGAGTCCCTGCGAATACCGACTATTGCCTGAACAACTTTAATTAACGTTTCTGACATTAGAATCTATCAGAGCTGACTTACGCGTGGCTCAAAACAGAGAGAGAAAAGGGGAGCATGTCCTAAATCTCCAAAAGCAAATCCGTCGATATTTTTCCCTAGCCCAGTGAAGACATGAGCCATTTAAAGACAACACACTTCTGTTTCGATGAGTGATTATATCATCAACCCTAATGTATTTTGGCCGCCGTGGAGAAGTAAAGGTATGACAACAGTCAGGACAGAACAGAGCCGCTGAAATCTGAGAACTGCCATTCATCGCTGACTGAAGTGACAGAAGAATACAAAGATTGTTTTTAAACTATTTTCTATAGTATTCCCATATTGTCTAATTCATGGTTATATGCCCAATGACACAAAATATCGAAAATTGCCTTTGTCTTACAAAAAGAAGCTAAAAGTGAAAACCTGACTCCTGGAAGCTGACGATGTTGTGGTATATGAGCGCTATTAAAACATATTTTATCAGTAAGATTTTAGCTGGCTTCCAGTATGATAAAATACTTCACTTTTATTGCAAAGCATTAATGTTTCCAATTACGCGTCCCCTCATCACAACATTTTATACCTGCTAGGCCTGAATAATGACACCCTGTTACCAATTTTTTTGCCATTAAAGTTTTAGGTAGTGATGTTAGTGGTATTAATTGTACCAGTATAAATTTTCTAAATTCTGCTTTCCCTTACAGCTACATCACCCAAATAAAATCATAGTGAAGCAATACAGCTCACTGAGACACACTGCCTCCACCTTTTGGAGAGGCACTTTATTCGTTTTAGACCCCGGATTTTGACAGATGCAGGTTCTGTGCTCAGTGTTTGGAGGCTCCGCTATGGTCTGTATCAGGGGCAGCTCTGAACCTAGCTTGAGCCTGCAAAGTGAGCAAATGCGCAAGCAAAGAAGTGCTGTACCTCTGCCTTCTCCAGAGGAAGGGCAAAACGTGGATTTGGGGGGCTGTCACTCAGGCAGTTGCGCTCCCCATCAAAACACCCGCTTGCTCATTTTCAAGTCTTTTGACAAAAAAGGAGATAATGGCATAAAGGGAGCATTCCCTTTAGCTGAATCTAAACACAAAACCAGTGAATTAACTGATATTTGTAGAGTAAATAAATTTATTACCTTATGAGTTGATCTTTGTTTTGTTCCACAAGGGTGGGAGGAACATTAGAGACGATGACTTGCATATCCAACTGATTGACCACAGACACCTGGAAACAAAAGAGCGACATTCAGTTGGCACTCCCACACGTCACATCCTCCCTATACAAAAAGAATGGGATAATTACTTTCCTGCCTTCATAGCCATGCCCTGATGTATGGATTTATCTTCTTTTTAATTCCAAATAAGAGAGCTGGGGAATCTTGCTTTGCTCGGCAGCCAAAACCAATAAACAACAGGCAAAGATTTAACTGGAACCGTAATTGCAGGACTGCATCACCATTACACCTTTTTAAGGGAGGGACTACGAAACCCGTTCTTCGTAGTTTAGACTTTACTTACAGATTCATGGATCTCCCACGTGCCATATTCAAAATCACTTAAGAGCAGAAAATCCAACCTTGGAAATATGCAGTTTGCACCAAAGTAAATGCAAATACCAGATTAATTCAACTAAATCAATGACACTTTGTTTGAAAATCACAAAGGAAATCGTTCATCTATTTTGAAGTCATCAGTGTTAAAGTTATTTTAATTTCCAATGTTTTTTGGCTTCTCCTTCTATATGGCATAACCGGTGCATAACCGTATGCTTTGACAATTGCACTTTTATTTAAAAGGGCAGGACATGAAAAATGCCTCATTAATACACTCAATACTTGTGTGCTTTGTTTCAAAAAAAAAAAACCTACAAAAAACAAACCCCAGGATTCCACAAAAGAACCATCTGACCTCAGAACAAATCTCTCACATTAGCATTTTCTACTACCACAGCAACATAACTCTTCTGTTTCTCAGCCACAGGTTGGGTCGTCAGTGTGCAGAAGGGACTACACGCATGCATCAGATTCAGCAGAACTGGCAAACTCTGTTTCACATCTCCTGATCCAGTCTCTTTGAGCTATTTTTATCTCAAGAGAAGGCTGCCTTCCAGTAAAATGATTGCACACTTTTTCCTCCCTTTTAAGTATTTCTGCACTTTGTGATAGTTCTCTTGACCCGCACACCCAACCTCCCCTATAGGTTGTGAAAGGAACAGTTACTTCCCATGCTGGTGGAGAAAATAAAACATTTCTTAAAACGTGACTCTTGTCCATATAGGCATGACAGCAAATGTTCTAGCCCAGACCTATACTCCCTATAGAGGGTTCTGGAGGTAAATTTGGAGAAGTAGGACAATGTTAAACCCAAGAAATTTAAAAGATCAAAGTTAGCTCATTCAGTTCTAAAAGAAAAAAAACCAACCCCTGATTTTCAAAAGAGAAGTCTGAGCCCTGTAAGCACTTCAGCAGACAAGCTATAATATACTTTCACATCAAACGCTGATTCACCAGCTTTGAAGCTTAATTCAACTTTAAATATTTAAATGTTCTTGAAATGTCATCAGCTGCACTGATCAGCACGTACAGACTTCTGTGTAAGAAAAACAGAATTATTATGAACTCACAATAAATTTTAGACTAAGATCATTGAAAGGAACTCTAAGGCAATGAACAGTTTAATAGAATTAACTACACCAGCCAATTCAAGCAACCACTGTGCACCTACGTACCGAGTATTGCATAAATGCAACGCTTAAAAAAAGGCAATAGTTCTTTTGATATTCAAGGAATCACAGTTATGACTACTGTTCATATACAAAAATATAAACAAACACACATTCACGACCAGCTATAATTAAACAAGGGTGTTGATAAAAAAATCAAGAAACAGTTAAGGTTTCCACAGTAACATTAACTTGCTTGCTATGCAAGGCTTTGTAAAGGCTTTCAGTTTTCAATTATTAAAAATAGCATTAAGTTGAGGAACTAAGTCCAATTTAACTACATCGTAAGAAAAGCTGTGGGGAGAAACTGTTCCCTTTCACTCGAGGAGAGACGGAAGCATGCTGGGAGCAGAGGTGGAAGGTGTGGGAAAGCAAAGGCACTTCCTGAGGCACCACTGTCACCGCTCTTTAGAAGCTTTTTGGGGTACAGTCACCAGGGATCATCTGACCCACCGTTCCCTAGAAAGCTTTTGCTACTTCTAGTCTACTGAGCAGAAACACAGCCAGGTCCTGTGATGCTAAATAGCAGGCACCAGCCTAAATTACAGGGCTGGAAGTCAGCATGTTCAGAAGTCTCATGTCCGTAAGTATCTGAAGAATACGTTGCGGAGAACTAGGAAAGTTCCAGGTTGAGTTAAATAAGCAGCACAACAAACTGGAAGTTTTCAGCAGAGGCAGGGAAAACATATAATTGTTGATAACCACTAGCCCGTGAGCGATATCCCCTTGATCCCATGCTTCATTCACGAGGCACATTCCAATTTTTAAATCAAGCAAGGCAGAGCCCACACTCAGTCTCGATCGTTATACGGCATCAATGGATTCCTGGGAGTAGCTTATGCTGGGAGCTGAATGAGGAAGGGGCCTTGGGACCCCCCAAGCCCCAACAAACATTTGATGGTATCATAGTGAATATTCACTATCCACACTTACTTAGTACCTTTTAAGTGCTTACTTGCAGCAAACATATTTTAAAATGTAATTTCTTATTTCTTTCTTTTACCTCAGAGAGGCTAAAAAGGGAAATTCCCTCAGACGGAACCAAACTGCAGATCCACAGATGTCACATGGACTGTCCCCTGCATCTTCCCCCACACCATGCTCTTTTGCACGCCAGTAATTAAATTCATTTCCCTTGTCTCTGTGCACATCTTGAGCTTGTACTGGAAGGAATTAACACCTCCCAATCTGAGCACCTGACGCCGCAGTGAGAGCAGGATCAATTCTGTTCAAATCATGAAGCCCAGGAACAGCTTAGTCTAGTTAGAAAGGATCCTCACGTACGGATCATGCCCAGTGCAAACCCAAACCTTCATGGTGGGATGGCGTCAGTCTGTAATTGTATCTACAGCCACCCTAAGCTTTCACGCCTTGCTCAAAAACACTGTACCGGAATGCTCATCACTCACTCAGACAACCTAAAGATGCCTCTATAAATTAATGAGACATACTTCACTTTCTAATTTTAATGTCGATACCTTCTGGCTATATTTTAATATACTATTACAGCATAAATTGCATGAGAATGCCCTATCGGTTTGGGAGGTCAAGCATGAGGACATCATACATTATGTTTATTTGCCGAATTCCTGCATAACTCAATATACCAAGTATTATGGCTATCATCTGTATCATTTGACAGTGTTCCCATGAACTAGATAATGCACTTCATCCCCACGACATTATGCTAATATTAATCCAATCCATCAAGTTATATGGGCTTTAAAGAAATTTAGCTTTGATGGTTTCTGTGACTGGACTAAGTCAGTGTCCTTTACTCAGCACAAAAACATGAGCTCAAGGCCTAAAGCTGGTGCCATTTTTGACACGTTGCTTCCCCGAAAACTTAGTGTCTCAGCCCAAAATTATTCCTTGCGTCTCCCTTACAGACACGAGCAACTAAGCCATGGCAGCCTTGGCTCTCCTCAGTAAGTCAACTGACTTCTAGCTTCCAGAGACTGTTTGCTCAGCTATTTGCCTGCACTGCAAGCCAGACACACCAGATCTAACCCCGACCCAGAAGCTACGCGCTCACGTTAATACAGAGCACAGTCCGAGTTAGCAACCTTTCAGTATTAATGGGGGTTTAACGCCATGCTAACCCCGCTTCACCGCTTTGGTACGGGAGCTGCACCTTCCTGGCTTAGCGAATAGGTGGAGACGACCTGTAAATGCTTGTGTCCGACCACGCAGATGTGACCCGCTTTATACTTGCAATGCACAAAACCAGCACTTTCTTTGCTGCCACCTGAGCCCAGAAGACCCAGAACATAACTTAGGTCCACGTTTAATGAAAACGATTAGAATCTAAATTGAACCATTAACAACGGCTCATTGAATAAGTAAAATACTGACCATCATGTCTAGAGTGGCAACTGAGATCAGTATCTCTGCCGTGAAACATGAACACGTTTCAGATGGTCATAAATGGTTTTGGTTAAAAAAAAAAAAAAAAAAAGGCAGCTTTATTTCAGTGACTTAAAAAGATTAAGTACACATAGTTTATGGCCTTCCTACAGGTCTGCCTGGAATTAAACTTTACGTGGTGTTTGAATTTCCTCAGGAGTTATTCCATAAAGATAATGCCTGGCTCATACTTACAAGTACTTCTGCTTTGCTGCTCAGTCCTTTTCCGTAATTGTCAGTTGCAATGACCTGAAACTTGAAATAGGATCTTCTCATGTTTTTGAACAGCATAGCAGTTTTTATTAGCCCTGTGTAAGCTTCAATCACAAAACCTTCTTTACCATCCTTGATTGGTGGAATGATGAGTCTGTACTGCATGGCACTGTAATTCCCAGTGTCTTTATCATGAGCCTAATAGGAAAAAGAAAACAAGCAAAGGCAAATAAAGTAAATATGCATGCAAAGAATCATTAACCTTGTCCTTTATAAATAAAGTTGCATATTGGTCCAGCCAATTCTTCCGCTCTGACATTTAAAACATTAGATCCCGGAGAGCAGATATTGCTATTACTTTAAATGGTTCATTTAACTTTGCTGCATACAGTTTTGCTTTTCCAGCAATTTCTTTCTCCTGGGTTGGCACTACTGCTCCAGAAAAAAAAAAGGGAAAAAGAAAAAAAGAGAAGAAAAATATAAATGGACTTTACAAGTCTGCAACAAACTGAACAGGTAAGAACAGCTTAATTCTGAGAAACCTCCACTGCTAAATTCTTGTTGACAAATATTAAATACCAAAGAAAAAAAACCCCAGCAACGCATTCACAAACTTACACAAGAAGGTCCTCCTCCTTCTTAGCGACATTCTGCACCCTCATTGATTGAGCACGTCTATTTTTGGAATAATTATTAATGAAAAAATGAAAAAAAAAAAAAAAAAAAAGGGTAAAGGTCCTGCAGTGCTGCACAACGGACCTGATGAGAGGTCCGGGTAGGACACATGGCTGCCCTGGCGTGCTCCCGCTGCTGAACTGCCGCCGAAGCAGGACGCAGTCCTGCTGTCCGTCAGGCAGCCCCGGGAGCTGTTATTTCACCTCCCGGTGCCCGACAACCCCGCACGGCCCCGTTCCGGCCTCTCCAGACCTACTCCTTCGTACAAACCATGCTCCTGCTCAAAAGGCAGTGCCCGCTGTCAGGCGGGAGTGTTTCTGAGGACCCTTAGAATGCTTTCATGTGCTGCGTCTAGGACGGGGTCAGCGAGACGGTAGCTAATTACCGCCTGTACGTTTGCCCACTCATTAGGCTTGGGCACTGCCTCAGCGTCTGGGACACTTCGGCATCTATTAGCAGGCTTTTATCGAAATATTGGCACAACTTCTTAAGCCTGTGGCTTCACCTCATGTTGGAGAAAAAACACCCTTAACTTCAAAAAGGTGCAGGTCTGTGTAAAATCCACACTTTGCTACGACTTAAAGCCAGTAAGGGTAACCACACTCTGGTCACGGTTTAATGGCAGTGTGAAGGCTTGTTTACCATGATATGCCACTGCCATCTAAAAAAGCATTATCAGTGCAAGGTCGTTAAGCCTTCAATAGACGGCTGTTAATCATCATTAATTGTTTCCTCACCAGCAGTGAACAAGTTCTGTAAGGTGGAAACTTTTACTAACTCCTGTTTTGTCTTCATTTCCTGATAATTTTCAGGGAATACCAGCGAGGAGACACAACAAGCGAGTCCACGCAGCACAGGGATTGCATTGGGCACCATCAAGAGATACCCGTGCCAGACAAATGATCCAGGTACTCAAAACTGGACATTCTTTCCATGCTACTCCGGCTGCTATAAGACCAGATGGAACAGATAGAACTATACAGCGCTTAAGAAATAATATCTGGGCCGGTTTAGCTAGGGGTAGCAAATGAGTTTCACACAGCACACCAATGTGCCCAAAAGATGAGCTCCCTCAATGACCCTGGCTGACACTCATCATGGAGATGGAATTGTTTAAAATGGTCCTTTGTAAATGTTTTGTTTTCCTCTGAATTGACAAAGCTTTATCTGGCTTGGCTGCGAAAAGCGTAAATAGAAAATGTGTTAAAGTGCTTTTGTTCTCTGGTTCTGTAGCTTTTTGTAAGGCTTTTAAAATCAAGATTACTGCCTCTTGGGTGATCTCAAACCCCTTTATTAGCATTTTTAGGAAAGATGGGGCACGTTAAAAGCTTTCTGGAATTCACCCCTTTCCGTCCGTCAGTAAAGGTAAAGCTATCGGTGAGCTTTTCCAGAGCACTCCTGCTACCCAAGTGGCGTGGGTAACTACAGCCCCAAAACATCACGGAGCCAGCAGACAGGAGCTTGACAGGTAGATTTTCAGGACTAGGCTCATTTTTGACTTTCCTTTTGACAAGTAAATTGCTGAAGGAACAAATAAATCTGAAGGCGTGCTACACGGCACAGGGAAGCGGCTGTACCTAAAAATGAGGTTGATCCGCAAGTGCCAGCAGTCATCGCTATTTGAGAGACAAATGTCAGTGCTCAGCACCGCGCTCAAGTCAGCCCTTTTAAGAAATGCATAAATGCCTAAATTACGGAACAGGTTACATTCATTGCTCCAGCAACCGCAGCGACTTCAGTGACCTTACTGGACTCTCACTCCCACCGCGGTTTCATCTGAGGTATTCTCAAATTAGTGCGTTGTGGTGGGTTATCTTGGCCAGCCGCCCGAGGCCCACCCAGCTGCTCTCTCACCCCCCTCCTCAACACGACAGGGGAGAAAATAAGATAAAAAAGCTCACAGCTTGAGGTGAGACAGGGAGCTTACTTATCAATCGCTGTCACAGGCAAAACAGACTCAACTTGAGGAAAATTGATTGCATTTACTGCCATATGAAACAGATTTGGATGATAAGAAACAAAGACAAAAATTAAAACATCGCCTCAGCTGTGCCTGGCCACGGGGCTGTTGGAACCATTTGTGCCCGGCCCAGGACAGCACCAGCCTCACCTCAGAGACCCCTCAGCCCCTGCCTGGGCACGGGCACCCTGCACACATCTGAAAATCAAGTATTTCACTTCAAGTACCTGTTCTTAACCAAATGCAAAGGAAATCTTAAAATTACAACTAAACGATTCCACGTGATTACTATTACTACTGAAATTACTCTCACTAAAGAAACATTTAAAGCTGGCATGATAACAGAAATAAAACATCCTTGAAAATATGCAAACTGTAGGTTAGAGCGACATTCAAAGTAGCTTCTCTTGGTGCTTTTCGGATGAATTTTGCCTCTGTGTTCTAGGAGAGCTTTACAACCTCCATGTACTCAAAAAAGAGATCAGGAAGCCTCTGCCTGTAGTAGCAGGGGATAACATCTGGTGCCACCCATCCAGAAGATCACCTACACGTTGCTCGAGAGACTAAAAGGAAACCTCTTCGGAAATGATTTCATGGTGATGCAGAGCAGGTAACTTTTAAAAATAATCGCTGCTTTGCCTCATACCTCACAAATCACTGTGTACGTGCATCTAAGACCAGGCAAGTGCAGGTTGTACAACATAGCCCAGTTTAAAGCCATGAACAACATACAAGAGGTCTATGTCGGCAAAAGCCACTGGCTTATCCAGACTCAACTTTGCATGTTGGTAAATGGAGCTGGGGGAAAAAAACCCACAACCCGTAACCACAACACAGCATGTGTTTTGGCACAAGGCACGTAGGCACAGGTAGCAGAGCACTATCTGATCTGGCTCCTTTGGGGTCTTCACCGTAGCGAGACAGGATTTACAGCGACTGCCCGGCTTACTGCCAAAGGCTCCCTGGAGGTGCCCTGCGAGACGAGCACTGCAGCCGTTCGATAAAAAGCCAATTTCTTTGTTAAAATGGATTCATTAGACTTGTTCAGCTGGGCCATAAGCCTATCATTTTTTTAATATTAAGAAATTTTATTTCAATAGAAAGATACGACTTTTAATAGTAAGTTTGTTTCAGTAACAACAGACATCAATCTCACCTTCAGTATTTCACGCTTGTATCTGTGTGCAACTAAGGACAAACAAAATTTGGATCCAAATTTGGGTATCAATATTGCAGGCACAGACATTAAACAGAGTCAGCCTTTCTGAACAATCGTCGCCCTACTGTAGTTGCTTAGACGTAACTAATACGTAACAATAATAATAACAATAAAATAACGTAACAATAAGCCTTGACGTTGAGTTTAATGCAAGAAACTCCAGTGGAAGAGGCATTTTGAAATTTTAAGCATGCAGCCTCTAAAATCCTGCCATTCAGATGCCCAAAGCTAGTTAATTTTCAGAACTTCTGAGAACTCAGTGGCACTCCAGAGGAATCAGTGGCCTCGGTATCATTACAGTTCAGGCTATTTCCATCCCAGAAACCATCTACACACAGATGAACAAAGCCAGGTGCAAAACAGCCTGAGGAACTCGGAAGAATCATCAGATTTCAATTTCAAATATTTTGAATTTGTTGTCTCTATTTCCCCCCTTTTCACCACTATTTATGCTTTGATCAAACCTAACGACACAGTGCAACATTCAGCTTTGCAGGACCGCCAGAGAGAGCTTGTGAGCTGCTGACATTAATGTAGCAACTTCTTTAATACAGAGTAAGGATGTTTGCTATTTTTGTAATTTGTCCTGAAGGTAAATATTTTTGACACTTCATTAGGGAGAGATATATGACATCTCAAGAGTTGCGTTATGACTGTCAAAGAAGAGAAAGAGCTATACTTAATCTTAATATTACAGCAGTATATCTTCCTTTTGTCGTGTGCAAGAAATACAGATGTCTCCTAAATTTTGCTATGATTGAGTTGCTATGATTGAGCTATGATAAATATGTATGATTTAGGCATTGCCAGGCCAAATTCACCCCCCTGCAGCTGAGCGTGAGCGCACCCACACAAATGGAGTTTCGTTGGCATCACCGGGCGCTGCCTCCAGCCCTCACCCATCCTCTCGCCCGGTGGAAGAGGTGCAGCTGCTGGGGTGCTCCCTAACCCCACCACAAAAGCACATTGCACCAGCCAGGTATCAGCTGAAACATGCTGCTCGAGGCCCTAACATTGAGGATATTTACCACAAAGTCATTACCAGTTACTTTTTATAACTTTATTGGCCGCTATCTCTCTTGGAGCAAAAAGACCAGTACGCCAAGCGTTCTTGGTGTACACGGACTGCCAGCACGACTCGCAGCAAGTCATTGGAAACGTTAGAATTCCTGGCACTGCAGAGGTAGCAGAGACGGACGCTGTCGGCGCCGGGTTCGCTCTCCGATAAGTGATGTCTAATTCAGCCCGGCACTGCGGCAGCGGCAACAGGATGAAGGGTACAGCTGCTTTGCTGCCGACAAAAAGTGCTTTTAACACATCGGTTGCCTTAAAACAGAAAGGGAG